GAACATTCCAGACAGAACTCTTGCACTTTTGTACAGATATTTTCCTTGTTCTCATCTGTGTTTTTGTTTTTTCAGACCAGCTGCGAATCACCAACCTGAGGGTGAACTTCACGAAGCTCCACACGTTAGGAGACAACCTGCTGGACACTCGCGCCGAGATCAAGGAGAAGTATTACTACGCCATGTACGAGCTCGTCGTCCGCGGCAACTGCTTCTGCTACGGCCACGCCTCCGAGTGCGCCCCCATCCAGGGCATCCCCGACGACATCGAGGGCATGGTCAGAAGAACTTTAAAGACACACTCTGGAACATCTACACCTCAAACACACTGACGACATCGAGGGCATGGTCATGGTTTTAGACCTGATTTAGACCTGATTTTAGACCTGATTTAGACCTGGTTTTAGACCTGATTTGAGACCTGGTTTAGACCTAGTTTAGACTTAGTTTAGACCTGGTTTAGTCCTGGTTTTAGTGTCCGGCAATGAGTGGAATTACGTAAAAAAATAAATAAATAAAAAAAAAAGGTGGGATTTAGTCCCAAAATGTAAACAGGAAAATCCCTCTGTGTAATCCATTTATTTCAACAAAGTAACTGTAATCCAGTTACCACTCACTGAAACAGTAACTGTAACTGAATACAGTTACTCATCATTTGTACTCTGATTACTCTGGTACATGTAATCTGTTACTCCCCAACACTGGTAATACGGAACATTTAAACTCATCCTAGAATCGTTTGTGAACCTGAGTTTTTCTGGAGACTGGAGCTGGTCCAGATATTTTCTTTTGTGTGACCTGAGTTGTGTTGTCGTCTTGTGTGACCTGAGTTGTGTTGTGTCTTGTGTGACCTGAGTTGTGTTGTCGTCTTGTGTGACCTGAGTTGTGTTGTCGTCTTGTGTGACCTGAGTTGTGTTGTCGTCAGGTGCACGGGCGCTGTGTGTGTAACCATCACACCAAAGGACTCAACTGTGAACAGTGCGATGATTTTTACAACGACCAACCCTGGAGACCTGCCGAGGGACGCCACAGCCACGCCTGCAAGAGTGAGACACACACTGACACACACACAGACACACACTGACACACACTGACACACACACACACACACACACTGACACACACTACACACACACAGACACACACACACACACACACTGACACACACACACACACTGACACACACTGACACACACTGACACACACAGACACACACTGACACACACTGACACACACAGACACACACTGACACACACTGACACACACTGACACACACAGACACACACTGACACACACAAACACACACTAACGACGCCACAGCCACGCCTGCAAGAGTGAGACACACAATGTATAGTACAATAGGCGGCACAGTGGCTGAGTGTCTAGCACTCATGCCTCACAGCAAGAAGGCTCTGGGTTGGATCCCCGGGTGACCCGGGTCTTTCTGTGTGGAGTTTGTGTTTCTCCTCGTGTCTGGATGAGTTTCCTCCGGTTTCCTCCATCAACACAAAACCTGCTCCAGGTCCATAAACAGTTGATAATCAAGGTCAGTTAAATACAATCAATTCAATCATTGTGTCCTTAGGCAAGACACTTCACCCACATTGCCTAGTAACGACCACCACCAACACTCACACACACCACGTGTGTGTGTGAGTGTTGGTGGTGGTCAGAGGGACTGATGGTGCCGAGTGGCATGGCTGCCGTGCCTCTGTCAGTCTGCCCCAGGGCAGCTGTGGCTACAATAGTAGTTTACATCAGCAGGTGTAGAGTGAATGAATAATGCTCTGTAAAGTGTCTTTGGGGACAAATGTCTGGGAAAAGCGCTGTATAAATAAAGACTTACAATTAAAAAAAAAAACTATTACTGAACCGTAAAAGACTCAAAATGAGGTGTGACTCAAAAACAGGTGTGTTTTAAGAAGTGATTTTAAAGCAGAACAGAGTCGACTTGTTTTATGTGATCAGGAAACTCTCTGTCTCCTCTGAGCTTCACTTGGACTGAGGAGTGAGATCAGAGTCTGGTCTGCAGGTCTGAGGAGCTCACAGGAGAGTGAGACACCAGCAGGTCAGACAGGTTCTGTGGGACAAGGACATGAGGTCATTTAAAGACAAATAAAAGTATTTTAAATCCACTCTGAAATGAAACGGGAGCAGTGAAGAGCAGACAGGAGCAGAGACACGAGCTCGTGTTTCTGTGAAGACGAGCAGCTGCTCCATCCATTCATTTTATTCTCCTTATCTGGGGCCCGGTCACAGGGGCAGCAGTCGAAGCAGAGACTCCCAGACTTCCTCCACCCCAGACACGAACAGCTGTTTTATATATATAAATATAATATATGCTCTAAATGTGCTGACAGACCACAGAGCCACGCCCACATGAGACACATACACACTTTATAATAATAATAACACACTAATAACACAATGGTTAACACAACAGACAGTGACAGAGCTCAGAGCTCTGCCTCACCAGCACTATGTTCAAAATAACTTAGTCCAATGTTTCTGTGGAGAATTCATGGCACAATCAGGCGTCCAACTACAGATGCCACGTTCAGAGCAGAGAGTGACCTGAAGACATGTTTTACTTATAGTTAACCATCTCTCCTCTTCGTCTCTTCTGTGCGTCTCTCAGAGTGCGAGTGTAATGGCCACGCCTCTTCCTGTCACTTCGACATGGCGGTGTACTTGGCCACAGGAAACAGCAGCGGAGGAGTGTGTGACCAGTGCCTCCACAACACTATGGGGCGCCACTGTGAGAGCTGCAGACCCTTCTACTACAAGGACCCCCAGAGGGACCTGAGGGACCCACAAGTCTGCCAGCGTACGACTGTAACACTATTATAATATACACACCCCAGAGGGACCCACAAGTCTGCCAGTGTACGACTGTAACACTATTATAATACACACACCCCAGAGGGACCCACAAGTCTGCCAATGTACGACTGTAACACTATTATAATATACACACCCCAGAGGGACCCACAAGTCTGCCAGTGTACGACTGTAACACTATTATAATACACACACCCCAGAGGGACCCACAAGTCTGCCAGTGTATGACTGTAACACTATTATAATACACACACCCCAGAGGGACCCACAAGTCTGCCAGTGTAGCAATAAATATACCCTTATACAATAGAACTAACTCTTCCACATTTCAAACACTCCTTTGACCCTCCCTTATGCCCCGCCCCTTTGCCCCTTGCCCTTTGTCCCGCCCCTTTACCCCTCCCTTCTGCCCCACCCCTTTTGCCCCTCACCCCTTTGCCTCGCCCCCTTGCAGCATGCGACTGTGACCCTGACGGCGCTCTGAACGGCGGCCTGTGTGACGGGCACACTGACCCCGCCCTCGGGCAGGTGGCGGGGCAGTGCCGCTGTAAACCGCACGTGGAGGGACCGCGGTGCGACAGGTGCAAAGCCGGGTTCTACGGTCTGAGCGCCGAGAACGCCGACGGGTGCCTGCGTGAGTACCGCTCTGTAAAAACACCACTGTAATCATGTTTATATCACTGTAACTCTCTGCTCCTGTCTGCTCCTGTCTGCTCCTGTCAGCCTGCAGGTGCGACCCTCGGGGCAGTGTTTCTGGGCGCGCTCAGTGTGACCCGGTCAGTGGGGACTGTTTCTGCAAACGCCTGGTGACAGGGCGCAGCTGTGACCAGTGTCTGGTCAGTGACTCTCTGTTTTCTGTTTCAAATGTGATACCTTTATTTAAACACTCGGCAGGGTCGGCAGGGTCGGCAGGGTCGGCAGGTGTGGAAAATAATTTAGTTCGATTAGATTTAGAATTTTAAATTACGCTGACTTTCTCATTTTGAATTATTTAACTCCAAAAAAAGACGTTTGAATTATTTTTATTCTGAATTTTTGTTGCTGAAATTTTAAGTGTTTCACCTTTTAATTTAATTTCACCTTTTAAATATTCACATATTTTCAACTCCTCGAACTCAAAAGTCAAAATTCAGAGTGTAAATTTCACAGTAAAGATCCAAGATGCCAAATAAAATAAAATAAAATAAATAAAATAATAAAAAAGAGAAAAAATAATAATACTAATAAGATCCAAGATGCCAAGGCAGAAGCAATCGATCCATGTGCATGAGGAGGACGGAGGCTGTTTCTTAATGGTTCTCACCTGTGAGCGGGGTTGAGATTTTAATGAGGAGAATTTTGACCAATCAAATCACTTCACTGCTCCATTTCCTGTTTGTTACTAAGTTAGATTGGATCACACAGGATCGATGCTTCTGCCTCGGCATCTTGGATCTTTTTAGTTTTATATTTTTTTTAATTATTTTTATTTTAGTTTAGTTTTGTTTGTTGTTTTTTTTGACATCTTGGATCTTTTTAGTATTATATATTATTCTATTATTTATTTATTTATTTATTATTTTATTTTATTTACTTATTTTGGCATCTTGGATCTTTGCTGCATTTTTTTTTTCTCTGAATTTACCCCTCTGAATTTTGACTTTTGAATTTGAGGCTTGAAAATATTTGTGCTGAATATTTAAAAGGTGAACTTCTGAAACACTTCACATTTCAGTCACTAAAATTCAAATTAAAAATAAATCAAATGTCTTTTTTAAAACATTCAAAGTGAAAAATTCAGCGTGATTTAAAACTCCAAACCTGATGGAACAAACGATCCCCCGTGTGCTGGTCTCTGGGCAGGTGTGGGCAGAAAGTGTCTTGCTCAAGGACACATTCTGGCCCGACTGCCGCTCGAGGATCATACAGAACGAGCCTTTTCTATTTTTACCGTTTCGCTCGTTCCTCTCCTGCCGCTCGTGTCCATATTTGGAGTTTCCTGTGGGTTTAGTCTATCTTTAGGCTCAGCTGTGTCTGGTTCCCACAGGCTCCTGATGCTTCTGATTTAACTCTGGCTCAGGTCAAACACTTCACACATTCTCTGACACATTTAAATAAAAAACTGAAACATAAACATTAAAAAACGAGAAAAAAAAAGTGAGTGAAAGTTTTGAGAGTTTGTCTCCGCTGATTTAGGCAAGGCAAGGCAAGGCAAGTTTATTTGTACAGCACAATTCGTACACAAAGTAATTCAAAGTGCTTTACAGAATAAGAAATACATTAAAATCATAATAAAAACAAATCAAAACATAAATAATCATGAAGATTAAAATTAAAAAAGAGAGACATAAATTGGAGAGAAGAGTGCGGAATGAAAACCTTTCAGTTATTTGCACAGTTAAACAGAAATGTTTTGAGTCTGGATTTAAACAGTGTCACAGAAGAGTCTGTCTCAGTCCCTGAGTCTGTTCCTGCTGCAGAGTCTCACGTTTTCCAGAGACAAATGTTAAAAACTCAAATATTTACTGAGCTGTGACATCGCACTGGGGGTGTTCTACATGTATGTGTATGACAGAATATTCAGCAGTTACCATGGTGACACATCGCACACACGAGCAAACAGGGTCAAAAAAAGTTTTAAGAAAAACTCAAGAAAAAAATCCCAAAGTTATTTAAAGAGACATTTTCATTTTCCTGAGGTGAGGTGAAAGTAACAAACTGAAAAACTGTTGTGTTTAGAAACTCACTTTACTCACAGAGAACAGTTCAACTCAGGAATCCTCTCGCTGTTTTGGACTTTTACTGAAGCGTCGACTGTAAAACTGTAACATACAAAAATACAAGAATATTACCATCATGTTCCACATTTATATGAACATAGTAAATGCAGAGATACAGAAAACAACATGGAGCAGCTTCATACAGTGAAATATCTGTATAATATTTGCTTAAAATTTGTTGAACTTTATAAAAATGTTAGTAAAACAAGCCATTAGCATGATGCTAACATGAATGGAAATTCCCATAGACATGCTCGCGCTATAGCGTCTTATATTTTAATGTGAGTTTCAAGTGTGAAACAAATTAAAGTGCCTCATATGAGTTTACAGAGAGAGTTAACGTCTTATAACATCACAAAACTTACAGACAGAGAAGTTCTGTCTGTGTTTCTGCACTGGGGCAGAACATGTTTGCTAATGCTAATGCTAATGCTAATGCTAATGCTAATGCTTTTAGTTTATTTTACTTATTTAGTGTCATGCACCATTTAATTGGTGCCCAGCTCACATGGGTTTATAAGACACATAAAACAAGAAGCAGACAGATCACACATCAAACATAAAGTGTCGTCTTATGGACGTCCCAAACTTTTAACACAAACCGAGCCAACTTAAAAACATTAGATTTAAACAGACACTTGAGTCTCTCCTCATCAGACACAAACCAACAGTGAGACACGTTAGACTCGACTGACAGAGCAGCTCATGATACAAACCACACGAAAACACTCAATGACTTTCATTTTCAACCTCCTTTAAGCGGCACAGACACATGTGCTCCTCCTCTGGGACTGAGTGGAATCGTCCCGTCTCCAAGGCCAGAGGCAGAGTCCCACACCTCAACTGGGCCCATCCTGACCTCTGACCTCTGACCTCTGACCTCTGCTCAGGTTCAGGGCGACATGAGGCTCAGGTCCAAAACCGTCTTTAATTCAGATATATGTTCTTCATTTAGGTTTATATTCAATCTCATTGTGCCACTTTTGTTTCTGTTTATCAGAGTAAATGTTCCTCGTTTGTCGGACACTACAGATGAACTTATTTCTGTAAATAAACCGGAGATCTGCAAATCTCAAAAATGTTCTCAGTCTCTCTACTCCAGGACGATTTATGGAACAGACTCCAGTTAAAAACATGTTTGGTTCATCTTGTGACTGTGTTGTTCTTTAGAGAGACTGGCTCAGGTCAGTCTGGTCTTTATGGTCAGACTGGGTTCAAATAAAAGCCTCAGACAGAGCAGTGCCTAAAGTTAGAATCACACCCGCAGAGAATGTGGATGATCTCAGCTGCAGAGAATGAAAATCACCTCCTGTTCCTCCTGAAACACCGAGGAACAGCTGCAGGGTCTGTTCATGTTCACACAAACACCCACACGCCCCTGTCGCCCACTGACGCGGCAGGGGTCAGTCTGAGCACCTGTCGGGTTCACCTGTCTTCACCTGTCTCACCTGTCTCACCTGTCTCACCTGTCTCACCTGTCTCACCTGTCCTGTCTTGTGTTTCAGCCTGAACACTGGGCTCTGAGTCACGACCTGAACGGCTGCAGGGGCTGTGACTGCGACGTGGGCGGAGCTTTGGACAATCAGTGAGTCAGAGTCTGTTTCAGTTTCATCCAAACACGTTTCAGAGACACAAACGAAACCAAACACGACACGTCGAGTCGTTTTTATTGTCCGTGTAATCGAAGGTTTGACAGTCAGTTTTTCACTGCTCCATTGTTCATGTTTTTGTTCACAAACTTCAGTCGTGTCCAAACGTCCACACTGTTTCCTTCAGGGACACTGTGTTTTTAGGGGCGTCCGAATGTCCAGTTGATGAAAAAGTGTTTCTCTCAAAATTTATCACAATGAACCTTGAAAAGTCGCGTGGATCGAAGACACAGATCTGTAACAAACCTGGATAAGAATTCCCCCCACAGAGGTCAGGTTCTGTTAGATTCTTTTCTATTTTCACAACATAAACTTTTAAAATGTTTAAATCCTCGTGGCTCCTAAAGTGTCTCTGTCAGACTGAGCCTCGCTCTGATTGGTCCAAACGCTCCACGTCGTGCACATTACAGACGTCACACGGTGGGAGGAGCTCGCTCAGATTCAGGAAGTAAATGCAGAAGAGAAAATGATTTTTGGGCCCCTGACACAGATTCTTACGACGGAGTAAAAGGGTCAGATAAAAAAACAAAAACAAAGATGCTGGCGCCACGAGAATAAAGTCGTAACATTTCGACATTAAAGTCGTAATATTATGAGAATAAAGTTGAAACCAGAAATAGTCTTAATTTTACGAGAATAAAGTCGTAATTTTATGAGAATAAAGTGGAAGTTAAAATAAAGTGTTAATATCAGGAGAACATCAGCGGCTCGTGGAGAATTTGGAAAATTTGTAAAAGAGAAGAATCTGTGTATCATTCGTTCATTCGACTGAATCAGGACTAAACCAGGTCCAGAACCAAACCAGAAAGACCAGGACTGAGACCGGGACCAGACCAGGACTGAAAACAGTTTAGTCCTGGTTTAATCCTGGTTTAAGTCACGGAAATGAGAAATGGCGTTTCTGTGACTTTAAAATGCGATGCCCCACATACGGACTGAACCAGGACTGAACCAGGACTGAACCAGGACTGAACCAGGTCTAAACCAGGACTGAACCAGGACTGAACCAGGACTAAACCAGGACTAAACCAGGACTGAACCAGGACTGAACCAGGACTGAACCAGGACTAAACCAGGACTGAACCAGGACTAAACCAGGACTGAACCAGGACTAAACCAGGACTGAACCGGGACTGAACCGGGACTGAACCGGGACTGAACCGGGACTGAACCGGGACTTAACCAGGACTGAACCAGGACTGAACCGGGACTTAACCAGGACTGAACCAGGACTGAACCGGGACTGAACCGTTTTCAGTCCTGCTCCTGTTCCCGGTCTCAATCCTGGTCTCAGTTCTTGTCTGATCCCGGTCTCAGTCTTGGTCCCTGACTCAGTCCTTGTCTGGTCCTGGTCTAAGGCCTGGTCTCAGTCCCGGTCTGGTCTCGGACCTCGTTTAGTCCTGGTTTAGTCTTGGTTTAGTCCTGGTTCAGTCCTGGTTCAGTCCTGGTTTAGTCCTGGTTTAGTCCTGGTTTAGACCTGGTTTAGTCCTGGTTCAGTCCTGGTTAAGACCTGGTTTAGTCCTGGTTCAGTCCTGGTTCAGTCCTGGTTTAGTCCTGGTTCAGTCCTGGTTTAGTCCTGGTTTAGTCCTGGTTCAGTCCGGAGGTGCAAATAATGAAGAAAATTGTTGTTTGTTTTATTTTTGGTTTTATATTGAAAAACAAGTTTCTTCTTCTGCCGCATTTTTCACTTTGACTTTGATTTTATTTTGACTTTATTTTAACTTCGACTTTATTCTCGTTGTGCCAGCAGTTTTCTTTTATCTGACCCTTTTACTCGGTCGTAAACTCTGAAAACATCACGACAGAACAGATTTATATAACCAACTCCTCCCTCACCCGTCTGTCCCTGTCTGTCCCTGTCTGTCCCTGTCCGTGCAGGTGCGCCCCTGACAGCGGGCAGTGCCGTTGCCGTGGGCACATGGGCGGGCGTCAGTGTTCTGTGGTGGAGTCTGGTTTCTTCTTCATGGCTCTGGATCATCTGCTGTACGAGGCCGAGGACGCCAGGCTGGGACAGGTACTGACCCGGATGCCCTCCCGCGCCCGCCCCCCCCTGTGTGTGTCAGGTGCCCCCCCCCGTGTGTGTCAGGTGCCCCCCCCCCCCCCCCCCGTGTGTGTGTCAGGTGCCCCCCCCCCCCCCCCGTGTGTGTCAGGTGCCCCCCCCCCCCCCCCCCCGTGTGTGTGTCAGGTGCCCCCCCCCCGTGTGTGTGTCAGGTGCCCCCCCCCCCGTGTGTGTGTCAGGTGCCCCCCCCCCCCCGTGTGTGTGTCAGGTGCCCCCCCCTCAGTTTGTCTCAGTGTCTCAGTTTGTCTCAGTCTCAGTGTCTCTCTCTCTCTCTCAGTTTGTCTCACTCTCTCGTCTCAGTTTGTCTCAGTTTGTCTCAGTTTGTCTCAGTTGTCTCTCTCTCGTCTCTCAGTTTGTCTCAGTTTGTCTCAGTTTGTCTCAGTTTGTCTCAGTTTGTCTCTCAGTTTGTCTCAGTTTGTCTCAGTTTGTCTCAGTTTGTCTTCGTCTCAGTTTGTCTCAGTTTGTCTCAGTTTGTCTCAGTTTGTCTCAGTTTGTCTCAGTTTGTCTCAGTTTGTCTCAGTTTGTCTCAGTTTGTCTCAGTTTGTCTCAGTTTGTCTCAGTTTGTCTCAGTTTGTCTCAGTTTCGTCTCTTTGTCTCAGTTTGTCTCAGTTTGTCTCAGTTTGTCTCAGTTCGTCTCAGTTTGTCTCAGTTTGTCTCAGTTTGTCTCAGTTCGTCTCAGTTTGTCTCAGTTTGTCTCAGATGCCCTCCCGTCCTCTGTGTCTCTCAGGGTTGCTCGGTGGAGGTCAGGGAGCACCAGCCCGGTCGTCCCGCCTCGTGGACAGGTGTGGGTTTTGCCCGCGTGCCCGTGAGCAGCACACTGGAGTTCACCATCGACAACATCCCCTTCTCCATGGAGTACGACCTGCTGCTGCGCTACGAGTCCCAGGTCAGGACCACAACCAGTCTGGTCTGGTCCGGTCCAGTCTAGTCCAGTCTAGTCCGGTCCAGTCTGGTCCAGTCTAGTCCAGTCCAGTCTAGTCCAGTCTAGTCCAGTCCAGTCCAGTAGTCTAGTCTAGTCCAGTCTAGTCCAGTCTAGTCCAGTCTAGTCCAGTCCAGTCCAGTCCAGTCCAGTCTAGTCCAGTCTAGTCCAGTCCAGTCCAGTCCAGTCCAGTCTAGTCCAGTCCAGTCCAGTCTAGTCTAGTCCAGTCCAGTCTAGTCCAGTCTAGTCCAGTCCAGTCAGTCCGGTCTAGTCCAGTCCAGTCCAGTCCAGTCTAGTCCAGTCCAGTCTAGTCCAGTCCAGTCTAGTCTAGTCTAGTCCAGTCCTAGTCTAGTCTAGTCCAGTCCAGTCCAGTCTAGTCTAGTCCAGTCCAGTCTAGTCCAGTCTAGTCCAGTCCTAGTCCGGTCCACACATTTTACAAACACGACAGTTTCCAGTTGTTCACAAATAAAGACGATAAAAAACAGAAAATTTGAAATAAAAACTATAAATAAAAAGTGTTAAAATGCAGAAAGATAAAATGATTTTAAAAAATAATAAAATTTGATTTAAAAACAAAACATAAAAGAAACATGGTTTACCTGGTTTATACCTGGTTTACTGGTTTACCTGGTTTAGTCCTGGTTTATCCACCTGGTTTAGTCCTGGTTTAGTCCTTGGTTTAGTTTACCTGGTTTAGTCCTGGTTTAGTCCTGGTTTAGTCCTGGTTTAGTCCTGGTTTAGTCCTGGTTTAGACCTGGTTTAGTCCTGGTTTAGTCCCTGGTTTAGACCTGGTTTAGTCCTGGTTTAGTCCTGGTTTAGACCTCCTGGTTTAGACCTGGTTTAGTCCTGGTTTAGACCTGGTTTAGTCCTGGTTTAGTCCTGGTTTAGTCCTGGTTTAGTCCTGGTTTTAGTTCATGTGGTGATACAGGAAGTGCTCCACTGTGTTTTTAAACTTCACTAGAATCATGTGGATCATTTCTGTCTCTGGACTCGATCTCGACTGAACTAAAGGGAAAAGGAGCTGTTCACTTGATGACATCACGAGGTGGATCAGAGTGTTTCTGTGGTGTGAGTTCTGTGTGTGTTTGTTTTAAACCAGATGCCCCGGGACTGGGAGGAGCTCAGAGTCTCTGTGATTCGTCCTGGAGCGATTCCCACCAGCTCCCCCTGCGGGAACACCATCCCCGACGACGACAGGCTGCTCCTGTCACTGCCCGCCACCGCCAGGTCCGCCCCTGACCACACTACTGCACCTGACGCTACTGCACCTGACGCTACTGCACCTGACATGACCACCTGACACTACTGCACCTGACGCTACTGCACCTGACGCACTGCACTGACGCTACTGCACCTGACACCACCTGACCACTGCACCTGACACTACTGCACTGCACTACTGCACCTGACACTACTGCACCTGACACCTACTGCACCTGACACCATCCCCGACGACGACAGGCTGCTCCTGTCACTGCCCGCCACCGCCAGGTCCGCCCCTGACCACACTACTGCACCTGACGCTACTGCACCTGACAATCCTGACACTGACCTGACACACCTGCACCTGACCTACTGCACCTGACGCTACTGCACCTGACAATCCACCTGACACTGAACCTGACACTACTGCACCTGACACTACTGCACCTGACACTACTGCACCTGACGCTACTGCACCTGACACCATCCCCGACGACGACAGGCTGCTCCTGTCACTGCCCGCCACCGCCAGGTCCGCCCTGACCACTGCACCTGCACTACTGCAACTGACGCTACTGCACCTGACATCCACCTGACACTGAACCTGACACTACTGCACCTGACGCTACTGCTGCACTGACACCACTGACACTGACACTGCACCTGACACTGCACCTGACACTGCACCTGACACTGCACCTGACACTGACACACACCTGACACCTGACACTGCACCTGACACTACACCTGACACTGCACCTGACACTGCACCTGACACTGCACCTGACACTACACCTGACTGCACCTGACACACCTGACACTGCACCTGACACTGCACCTGACTGCCACTGCACTGACACTGAACCTGACACTGCACCTGACACTACACCTGACACTGCACCTGACACTGCACTGACTGCACCTGACACTACACCTGACACCTGACACTTGACACTGCACCTGACACTACTGCACCTGACACTGACTGCACCTGACACTACACCTGACACTGCACCTGACACTGCACTGACACTGCACTGCACTGCCACTGCACACTGACACCTGACACTGCACTGACACTGACACCTGACTGACTGCACCTGACTGCACCTGACACTGCACCTGACACTGACCTGACACTGCACCTGACACCACTGACACCTGACACTGACACTGCACCTGACTGCACCTGAACACTGCACCTGACACTGCACCTGACACTGCACCTGACACTGCACCTGACACTGCACTGACACTGCACTGACCTGCACCTGCACCTGACACTGAACTGACACTGCACTTGACACTGAACCTGACACTACACTGACACTGACCTGACACTACACCTGACACTGAACCTGACACTGACACTGACTGACCTGACACTGACCTGACACTGACACTGCACCTGACACTGAACCTGACACTGCACTGACACTGAACCTGACAATACACCTGACACTGACACCTGACACTACACCTGACACTGCACCTGACACTGCACCTGACACTACACCTGACACTGAACCTGACACTGCACTGACACTGCACCTGACACTACTGACCTGACACTGCACCTGACACCTACACCTGACACTGAACCTGACACTGCACTGACACTGAACCTGACACTGCACCTGACTGAACCTGACAATACACCTGACACTGAACCTGACACTGCACCTGACACTGAACCTGACACTACACTGACTGAACCTGACACTGCACCTGACACTGCACCTGACACTGCACCTGACACTGCACCTGACACTTCAGATTTTTCACACTTTTTTAACAAAGCTTTTTCCTGTAACATGTTTGTGTGTGTGTGTGTGTGTGTGTGTGTGTGTGTGTGTGTGTGTGTGTGTGTGTGTGTGTGTGTGTGTGTGTGTGTGTGTGTGTGTGTGTGTGTGTGTGTGTGTGTGTGTGTGTGTGTGTGTGTGTGTGTGTGTGTGTGTGTGTGTGTGTGTGTGTGTGTGTGTGTGTGTGTGTGTGTGTGTGTGTGTGTGTGTGTGTGTGTGTGTGTGTGTGTGTGTGTGTGTGTGTGTGTGTGTGTGTGTGTGTGTGTGTGTGTTTGTGTGTTCAGGTTCATGGTTCCGTTGAAGTCTTTGTGTTTGGAGGAAGGCGTCTCGTATTTGCTCCGACTCGAGTTCAGACGATATCAGGACTTGAACAGTGTGACGGACGCGGCCGGACACTTCATCCTCGTCGACTCGGTCTCACGGCATTTATTTATTTATTTATTTACTTATTTATTATTTACATGATTATTTTTCTTTATTATTGATGCTTCATCCTCATCGACTCGAATTTTATGTATTATTTATATAATTATTTTACTTTATCATTGACATTTTTATCAGTTAATCAGTGACACTTCATTTATCACTGAGGGGCAGGTTTAGTCACCAGGCCCTGTCAGAGTCCCTGTCTGTCCCTGTCAGAGTCCCTGTCAGAGTCCCTGTCTAGTCCCTGTCTGAGTCCCTGTCTGAGTGCGCGTGTGCCCGCAGATCGCCCTGATGCCCCGTCACTCGTCTCTGGACATGTTCAGTTCCGGAGACGCCGGCGCCGCGTTGAGGAAACAGTCGTACGAGCGTTACCGGTGCCACGACACGGCGCGGAGCGTGACCCGGCCCGTCATGAGCGAAGCGTGCGCCCGCCTCATCTCCAGCATGTCCGCCCTCATCAACGACGGCGCGCTGGGTCAGTACCTCTCCGCTCCACAGGGGGCGCTCTCCGGTCGTTCACGTGTGTGACTGTGGTGTTTTCCGCAGCGTGCGAGTGCGACCCCCAGGGGGCGGTCAGCTCCGTGTGCGACGTGAGGGGCGGGCAGTGCCACTGTCGCACCAACGTGATCGGACGACGCTGCGACCAGTGCGCGCCGGGAACCTACGGCTTCGGTCCCGGCGGCTGCCAAGGTCAGAAAACTCCGCCCACTTTAACCACACCCACTTTGACCACAAACACTTTAACCACACCCACAAACACTTTAACCACACCCACTTTTACCACAAACACTTTAACCACACCCACAAACACTTTAACCACACCCTCAAACACTTTAACCACACCCACAAACACTTTAACCACACCCACAAACACTTTAACCACGCCCACTTTGACCCTGTAACACTGAAGCCCCGCCCTCTCCTCAGCGTGCGGCTGCAGTCCGGACGGCGCCCTCTCTCCGCTCTGTGATAAGTTCTCGGGGCAGTGCCAGTGCGGCGCCGGGGCGTTCGGGCAGCGCTGCGACCGGTGCCAGAGCGGATACTGGGGCTTCCCCACCTGTCGACCCTGTCAGTGCAACGGCAACGCCGAGGAATGTCACCACAGCACCGGAGCCTGCCTCAACTGCCGAGGGAACACCGGAGGAGACCACTGCGACAGGTGAGGCCCTGCACGCCCCAGGAGACCACTGCGACAGGTGAGGCCCTGCACACCGGAGGAGACCACTGCGACAGGTGAGGCCCTGCACACCGGAGGAGACCACTGCGACAGGTGAGGCCCTGCACACCCCAGGAGACCACTGCGACAGGTGAGGCCCTGCCAGGAGACCACTGCGACAGGTGAGGCCCTGCACACCGGAGGAGACCACTGCGACAGGTGAGGCCCTGCACACCGGAGGAGACCACTGCGACAGGTGAGGCCCTGCACACCGGAGGAGACCACTGCGACAGGTGAGGCCCTGCACACCCCAGGAGACCACTGCGACAGGTGAGGCCCTGCCGAGGAGACCACTGCGACAGGTGAGGCCCTGCACGCCCCAGGAGACCACTGCGACAGGTGAGGCCCTGCACACCGGAGGAGACCACTGCGACAGGTGAGGCCCTGCACGCCCCAGGAGACCACTGCGACAGGTGAGGCCCTGCACACCCCAGGAGACCACTGCGACAGGTGAGGCCCTGCACACCGGAGGAGACCACTGCGACAGGTGAGGCCCTGCACGCCCCAGGAGACCACTGCGACAGGTGAGGCCCTGCACACCCCAGGAGACCACTGCGACAGGTGAGGCCCTGCACACCCCAGGAGACCACTGCGACAGGTGAGGCCCTGCACAGGGCCCTGCACGCCCAGGAGACCACTGCGACAGGTGAGGCCCTGCACGCCCCAGGAGACCACCGACCAGGCCCTGCCGAGGAGACCACTGCGACAGGTGAGGCCCTGCCGAGGAGACCACTGCGACAGGTGAGGCCCTGCCGAGGAGACCACTGCGACAGGTCAGACTCGGTCAGACAGGGGCAGGTGCTTGGGGCAGGTGTTTTTAAACAGACAGTCTCACCTGATGACATCACAGGGTGGGACGTGTAGAACAGACTGAACTCTCTGTATCGTCTCTGTTGTTTGTCTCTGTAGATGTGCCAGCGGTTTCTATGGTAACCCGGTTTTGGGGACGGCGTCAGGGGGCACCTGTCGTCCGTGCCCCTGCCCCGAGGGACCCAACAGCGGGCGCCACTTCGCTGCGTCCTGTTACCAAGACGACCGCAACCGCCAGATCATCTGCAACTGCAAACAGGGATACACAGGTGAGACCCAAGACAGCGCTCTGATTGGCTGTGGTCTCCCTCTGAGCGCTCTGATTGGCTGTGGTCTCCCTCTGAGCGCTCTGATTGGCTGTCGTCTCCCTCTGAGCGCTCTGATTGGCTGTCGTCTCCCTCTGAGCGCTCTGATTGGCTGTCGTCTCCCTCTGAGCGCTCTGATTGGCTGTCGTCTCCCTCTGAGCGCTCTGATTGGCTGTCGTCTCCCTCTGAGCGTTCTGATTGGCTGTCCTCAGGTCCTCGCTGCGACCAGTGCGCCCCCGGTCACTATGGAAACCCGTCGTCCTCCGGGGGGCGCTGTGAGCCGTGCCAGTGCCACAACAACATCGACATGTCGGACCCGCTGTCGTGCGACGCCGTCACGGGGCAGTGCCTGCGCTGCCTGTACCACACCGAGGGGCGGAGCTGCGCCGTGTGCCAACGCGGTTACTACGGCGACGCCTCACGACGCAACTGCAGGAGTAAGACCAGGACTAAACCAGGACTAAACCAGGACTAAACCAGGACTAAACCAGGACCAGGACTAAACCAGGACTAAACCAGGACTAAACCAGGACTAAACCAGGACTAAAACCAGGACTAAACCAGGACTAAACCAGACTAAACCAGGACTACTAAACCAGGACTAAACCAGGACTAAACCAGGACAAAAACAGAACTAAAACCAGGACTAAACCAGAACTAAACCAGGTCTAAACCAGGTCTCTTCTTGTTCTTCAGAGTGCACGTGTAACTCCCTGGGCACAGACGTCGCCTCGTGTGGTGAGGAGGGGCACTGCGGCTGTGAGCGCTCCAGCGGGCAGTGCCAGTGTCTGCCCCACGTCACCGGGTTGGCGTGTGACCACTGCGCCCACAACCACTGGAACCTGGCGAGTGGGCGCGGCTGTGAGCCGTGCCACTGCGACGCGGGCAACTCCTACAGCGCCACCTGCAACGAGGTACCAGTACTACAAATACTACTACAAATACTACATAAAGTACTACGACTCAGTCAACTCCTACAGCGCCACCTGCAACGAGGTACCAGTACTACAAATACTACTACAAATACTGCATAAAGTACTACGACTCGGGCAACTCCTACAGCGCCACCTGCAACGAGGTACGAGTACTACTACTACTACTACTACTACTACTGCATAAAGTACTACGACTTGGGCAACTCCTACAGCGCCACCTGCAACGAGGTACAAGTACAACAACTAATACTACAAATACTGCATAAAGTACTGTGACCAGAGTAACTCCTACAGCGCCACCTGCAATGAGGTACAAATACTACAAATACTATTACTACTACAGATATTAATACTGCATAATGTATCAAATATATGTACTACAACAAGGTAGTACTGCAAACAAAACAACTCCTACAGCGCCACCTGCAACGAGGTACCAGTACTACTACTACTACTACTACTGCATAAAGTACTGCGACTTGGGCAACTCCTACAGTGCCACCTGCAACGAGGTACGAGTACTAGAAATACTACAAATACTGCATAAAGTACTACAACCCGGGTAACTCCTACAGCGCCACCTGCAACAAGGTACGAGTACTACAAATACTACAAATACTGCATAAAGTACTGCGACCCGGGTAACTCCTACAGCGCCTGTGAGTCCAACAGCAGAAGGACGGTGGTTTGGTTTTACACTCACCAAAAAACTGCAGAATATTTGTTTGTAGTATTTGTCACCAGCCCCGTGTGAAGTGTCCTTTTCTGCATTGTTCCTTCTGTAACATTTTTTGTGCTCAGACAGTTGTTCTCTGTGTTTAACCCTGATGCCCTCCCCAGTTCACGGGGCAGTGCCAGTGTCGCAGCGGCTTCGGAGGAAAGACCTGCACCGACTGTCAGGAAAACTACTGGGGCGACCCGAGGACCCAGTGCCGAGGTCAGACGCTGTTCACTCATTACCTGTCACATAAATACAGTTGTAGGGAGTATTATCTGTTACGTAAAGGTGAGTTGTACAGTTGTAGGGAGTATTATCTGTTACGTAAAGGTGAGTTGTACAGTTGTAGGGAGTATTATCTCTCTTACATGACGGTGTGTTGTACAGTTGTAGGGAGTATTATCTCTTACATGACGGTGAGTTGTACAGTTGTAGGGAGTATTATCTGTTACATAAGAGTGAGTTGTACAGTTGTAGGGAGTATTATCTGTGACATAAGGGTGAGTTGTTGTACAGATGTAGGGAGTATTATCTATGACATAAATACAGTTGTAGGGAGTATTATCTGTGACATAAATACAGTTGTAGGGAGTATTATCTGTGACATAAATACAGTTGTAGGGAGTATTATCTGTGACATAAATACAGTTGTAGGGAGTATTATCTGTGACATAAGGGTGAGTTGTTGTACAGTTGTAGGGAGTATTATCTATGACATAAATACAGTTGTAGGGAGTATTATCTGTGACATAAATACAGTTGTAGGGAGTATTATCTGTGACATAAATACAGTTGTAGGGAGTATTATGTGACATAAATACAGTTGTAGGGAGTATTATCTGTGAATATACAGTTGTGGGAGTATTATCTGTATAAATACAGTTGTAGGAGGTAACATAAGTAGTTGTTGTACAGATGTATTATCTATGACATAAATACAGTTGTAGGGAGTATTATCTGTGACATAAATACAGTTGTAGGGAGTATTATCTGTGACATAAATACAGTTGTAGGGAGTATTATCTGTGACATAAATACAGTTGTAAGGAGTATTATCTGTGACATACGGGTGAGTTGTTGTAGGGAGTATTATAGTATGAATGTAGTCGTGTATCTCTTACTGTTTGGGTTGTTGGAGCATTTGAGGAGAAGCATCAAGTTACAAAGTTCAGGTCCAAGTTCCAGTCCAGTGCTCATCTCATCCCGGCTCTTCTGAACCTTAAACATCTCCTCTTCTCTCTCCTCTCCTCTCTCTCTCTGGTCTTCTGTCTCTCTTCCTCCTGGTCTCTCCTGGTCTTTCGGTCTTCCTCCTGGTCTTTCCTGGTCCTGGTCTTCCTCCTGGTCTTCGTCCGGTCTTCCTCCTGGTCTTTCCTCCTGGTCTTCCTCCTGGTCTTCTCCTGGTCTCCTGGTCTTTCTCCTGGTCTTCCTCCTGGTCTTCCTCCTGGTCTTCCTCTGGTCTTCGTCCTGGTCTTCCTCCTGGTCTTCCTCCTGGTCTTCGTCCTGGTCTTCGTCCTGGTCTTCGTCTGGTCTTCCTCCTGGTCTCTCTCGGTCTGGTCCTCTGGTCTTCCTCTGGTCTTCCTCCTGGTCTTCCTCCTGGTCTTCCTCCTGGTCTTCTCCTGGTCTTCCTCCTGGTCTTCGTCCTGGTCTTCGTCCTGGTCTTCGTCCTGGTCTTCGTCCTGGTCTTCGTCCTGGTCTTCGTCCTGGTCTTCGTCCTGGTCTTCCTCCTGGTCTTCGTCTGGTCTTCGTCTGGTCTTTGTCTGGCCTTCATCTGGTCTTCCTCCTGGTCTTCCTCCTGGTCTTCCTCCTGGTCTTCGTCCTGGTCTTCCTCCGGTCTTCCTCCTGGTCTTCATCCTGGTCTTCCTCTGGTCTTCCTCTGGTCTTCGTCCTGGTCTTCGTCTTGTCTTCGTCCTGGTCTTCGTCTGGTCTTCGTCTGGTCTTCAGCGTGCGACTGTGAGTGGCAGGGCGTCCAGTCGTCTCAGTGTGACCGTCGGACGGGTCACTGCGTGTGTCGTCCGGGCGTGTCGGGCGTTCGCTGTGACCAATGCGCCCGCGGATTCTCCGGCGTCTTCCCCAACTGCGCCCCCTGTCACCAGTGCTTCGGCGACTGGGACCGCATCGTCCAGGTGAAACGCACAACAGACGCACAACAGACGCACAACAGACGCACAACAGACACACAACAGACGCACAACAGACGCACAACAGATGCACAACAGACGCACAACAGACGCACAACAGATGCACAACAGACGCACAACTAACACACAAACACATACACACAGAACCACACAAACTCACACAAACACATGGAAGAGACTGGGACCACATCGTCCAGGTGAAACGCACAACAGACGCACAACAGACGCACAACAGACGCACAACAGACGCACAACAGACGCACACAACTCACACAAACATGCACAGAGGAGACTGGGACCCAATTACACAGGTCCACACAACAAACACACAACAAACACACAACACACACACAACACACACACACACACACACACATGTATTTGTCCCTGAGGAGCAGTTTATATAAACAATAGTTTTGGTGTGAGGAGAGAAACGTCCCTCAGGACAAAAGTGTCCTGAGGGACGTCTGTGTCCTGCAGCATCACAACAGCCTCCAGGGGGCGACACATGGACACAGACCCTAACCCAGACAGATAAATAGATACAGGAAAAACAAACTGCTGTTTCAGGTCGTGTCTGTGATGTTCTCCAGGTCGTGTCTGTGATGTTCTCCAGGTCGTGTCTGTGATGTTCTCCAGGTCGTGTCTGTGATGTTCTGACCCCTGCGTTGTTCTCCTCAGGACTTGGCCGTCCAGACGAAGTCGCTGTCGTCTCGCGCTCACGAGCTGCAGACCACAGGACTGACGGGTCCGTACGAAAGAGCCTTCAAAGACCTGGAGCTCAAACTGTCCCAGGCTCTGAGCATCGTCCAGGCCCGAAACCAAACCAGCGCCGCCGTCACCGTCCTCATGGAACTCATCGAGGAACTCAGGTAAGAAACACCAAACACCAACCACCAAATACCATCCAAACGCCAAACACCAAACACCAAACACCAAACACCAACCAAACACCAAAACACCAAACACCAAAACGCCAAACACCAAACACCAAACACCAAATACACCAAACACCAAACACCAAACACCAAATACCACCCAACACCAAAACCAAACGCCAAACACCACCAACACCAAACACCAAACACCAAACACCAACCGCCAAAACGCACAAACACCAACACCAACCAACACCAAACCAAACACAAACCAACACCACCACAAACCAAACGCCAAACGCCAAACGCCAAACACCAAACACCAAACACCAAACACCAAAACACCATCAAACGCCACACCCAACGCCAAACCAACGCCAAACACCAAAACACCAAACACCAAACACAAACAAAACACCAAACGCACCAACACCAAACACCAAACGCCAAACACCAAAAACCAACACCAATACAAACCAAAACAAAAGCCAAAACCACCAAAACCAAAACCAACCCAAACGCCAAACCAACCCCAAACACCAACCACACAAACGCCAAACAAACCCAAACACCAAACACCAAAACACAAACGCCAAACGCCAAACCACCAAACGCCAACACCAACACCAAACGCCAAACCTCAAACCCAAACGCCCACCAAACGCCAAACGCCAAACCAAACCAAACGCCAAACATCAAACGCCAAACGCCAAACGCCAAACAACCAAACACCAAACACCAAACACCACCAAAACACCAAACACCAAACACCAAACACCAACAACACCACACCCCAACGCCAAACCACCAAAACACCAAAACACCAAGAACACCACCAAACACCAAACCCAAAAACCAAACGCCAAACACCAAAACACCAACGCCAACCGCCAACACAAACAAAGAACACCAAACACCAACACCAACACCAAACCACAAACGCCAAACACCAAACACCAAACACCAAACGCCAAACGCCAAACACAAACACCAAACACCAACACCAAAAACGCCCAAACACCAAACAACACCAAGCACCACACCAACACCACCAACACCAAACGCCAAACACCAAGCCAAACACCAACCAAACACCAAACACCAAATACCAAAACACCCCAAACACCAAAACAACCAAACACCAACCAACACCACACAAAACACCAAACACCAAACGCCAACACCAAAACCAAACGCCAACACCAAACACCAAACGCCAAACAACCAAACGCCCAAACGCAAACCAAACCAAACACCAACCAAACACCAAACACCAAACACCAAACACCAAACAACCAAACACCAAACACCAAACAACCAAACGCCAAACACCAAACACCAAACAACCAAACACCAAACGCCAAACGCCACAACCAAAAACGCCAAACGCCAAACGCCCAAACCACCAAACGCCACCAAACGCCAAACGACCAAACGCCAAACACCAAACGCCAAACACCAAAACACCAAACGCCAAACGCCAAACGCCAAACGCCAAACGCCAAACACCAACCAAACACCAAACACCAAACACCAAACACCAAACGCCAAACGCCAAACACCAAACACCAACACCAACCAAACACCAAACGCCAAACGCCAAACACCCAAACGCCAAACGCCAAACACCAAACGCCAAACGCCAAACACAAACACCAAACACCAAACACCAAACGCCAAACACCAAACGCCAAACACCAAACACCAAACATCTCACCAAGAGCTGGGTTATGAGGTCATCATCATCATCATCATCATCATCGTCGCTCTGTTTGTAACAAAACTCTGCTGAACATTCATCTACAGAACAAACGTCTGAACTTTCTTCACTGAAATATTGAAACATTTTTGAAGTTGAGAACCACAGACCGAGTGGAGACAGGGACACGTTCAGACGGAGACGTTTTACACAACAGACAGTTAAAGATCTCAGCTCTCGTCTGTAAATGTGAGAAACAGAAATGCCCCGGTCGTGAGGTCACAAGGTCACGAGGTCGTGAGGTCACAAGGTCACGAGGTCGTGAGGTCACAGGTCGTGAAAGGTCAGAGGTCGTGAGGTTGAAGGTGAGTGGTGAGGTGGTGATGAGGTGATGAGTGATGAGGTGATGAGGTGATGAGGTGGTGGTGGTGAGGTGAGTGTGTGAGGTGTGAGGTGAGGTGAGGTGGTGAGGTGATGAGGTGTGAGGTGGTGAGGTGGTGGGTGAGGTGATGAGGTGGTGAGTGATGGTGAGGTGGATGAGGTGATGAGGTGATGAGGTGATGAGGTGGTGAGTGGTGAGGTGTGTGAGGTTGTGAGGTGATGAGGTTGATGTGGTGAGGTGATGAGGTGTGAGGGTGAGGGGTGAGGTGGTGAGAGGTGAGGTGATGAGGTGATGAGGTGAGGGGTGAGGTGGTGGTGAGTGATGAGTGGTGAGGGAGGTGATGAGGTGGTGGTGAGGTGAGGTGGTGAGGTGGATGAGGTGATGAGGTGGTGAGGTGGTGAGGTGATGAGGTGGTGAGGTGGTGAGGTGGTGAGGTGGTGAGGTGGTGAGTGTGATGGTGAGGTGATGAGGTGATGAGTGTGAGGTGGTGAGGTGGTGAGGTGGTGGTGATGAGGTGAGGTGGTGATGGTGGTGAGTGGTGATGAGGTGATGAGGTGAGGTGTGAGGTGATGAGGTGATGAGGTGGTGAGGTGGTGAGGTGATGAGGTGGTGAGGTGGTGAGGTGGTGAGGTGATGAGGTGTGATGAGGTGTGAGGTGATGAGGGTGGTGTGAGGTTGAGGGTGAGGTGATGAGTGATGAGGATGATGAGGTGATGAGGTGGTGAGGTGATGAGGTGGTGAGGTGAGGTGGTGAGGTGGTGAGGTGGTGAGGTGAGGTGGTGAGGTGGTGAGGTGATGATGAGGTGATGAGGTGATGAGGTGGTGAGGTGGTGAGGTGATGAGGTGGTGATTGAGGTGGTGAGGGTGAGGTGATGAGGTGATGAGGTGGTGAGGTGGTGAGGTGGATGAGGTGATGAGGTGGTGAGGTGGTGAGGTGGTGAGGTGGTGAGGTGATGAGGTGATGAGGTGGTGAGGTGGTGTTGAACCTAAGATCTCAGAGCAGAATCAGTAAACGTGTGATCTCACCCCCGAGAGCCTCTGTGACGTGTGACGTGACTCTGGTTTTTCTGACCCAGACTCTGATCCACAGATTTAAACAGACGCCTCAATAAAACCACAAATGTCCTGGTTATTTTCAGATACAGAGAGAGAGAGAGAGACAGAGAGATGAAGAGACAGACAGAGAGAGAGACAGAGGGATAAAGAGAGAGGGAGTGGATCCTGTGGACAGATAAATGGATGAACAGATGCGTCGTTATTTCCAACACAAATATAAAGTTTGTTCAGACGCAACAGACTCAGAGAGAGAAAAAAAAAAAGAAAAGAGAGACAGAGAGAGAATGTGAGAGAGACAGACAAGACAGAGAGACAGACAGAGAGACAGAGACAGAGAGAGAGACAGAGAGAAGACAGAGAGAGAAACATAAACAGAGAGACAGAGAGAGAGAGAGACAGAGAAGAGACAGAGAGAGAGAGAGACAGAGAGACAGAGAGAGACAGACAGAAAGACAGAGAGAGACAGAGAGAGACAGAAAGAGACAGACAGAGAGAGAGAGACAGAGAGAGAGAGAGAGAGAGAAAGGAGAGAGAGACAAACAAACAGAAACAGAGACAAGAAAGAGAGAGACAGAGATATACAGATGGATAAACAGACAGATAGATGGATGGACAGATACAGTAGACAGATGGTAGATGGTAGATGGATATGGATGGATGGATGGATGATAAACAGATAAACAGACGTATCAATTCTTCTTCTTCTCTTGTACATTTCGTGTTCAGGACTCAGATCAGCGACACCACCGACTCTCTGAGCCGCGTGGAGGCGGAGCTTACGGTCGTCCAGGACACGAGCACGGAGGCGAGCAGCGACCTGAGCGCCCTGGAGCGAGAGGCGCGAGAACTCAACCTGACCTCAGAACAGCTCCACAGACAGATGGACGTCCTCAAGAACTCCAACTTCCTCGGTAACAAAAACTACAACTTCCTCAGTAACAAAAACTACAACTTCCTCAGTAACAAAAACTACAACTTCCTCAGTAACAAAAACTCCAACTTCCTCGGTAACAAAAACTACAACTTCCTCGGTAACAAAAACTCCAACTTCCTCGGTAACAAAAACTACAACTTCCTCGGTAACAAAAACTACAACTTCCTCAGTAACAAAAACTACAACTAAACAACTCAACTTCCTCAGTAACAAAAACTACAACTTCCTCAGTAACAAAAACTACAACTTCCTCAGTAACAAAAACTACAACTTCCTCGATAACAAAAACTCCAACTTCCTCGGTAACAAAAACTACAACTTCCTCAGTAACAAAAACTACAACTTCCTCAGTAACAAAAACTACAACTTCCTCAGTAACAAAAACTACAACTTCCTCAGTAACAAAAACTACAACTTCCTCAGTAACAAAAACTACAACTTCCTCGGTAACAAAAACTCCAACTTCCTCGGTAACAAAAACTCCAACTAACAAAAACTCCAACTTCCTCGGTAACAAAAACTACAACTTCCTCAGTAACAAAAACTACAACTTCCTCAGTAACAAAAACTCCAACTTCCTCGAGTAACAAAAACTCCAACTTCCTCGGTAACAAAAACTACAACTTCCTCGGTAACAAAAACTACAACTTCCTCGGTAACAAAAACTACAACTTCCTCAGTAACAAAAACTACAACTTCCTCGGTAACAAAAACTCCAACTTCCTCAGTAACAAAAACTACAACTTCCTCGGTAACAAAAACTACAACTTCCTCGGTAACAAAAACTCCAACTTCCTCGGTAACAAAAACTACAACTTCCTCGGTAACAAAAACTACAACTTCCTCGGTAACAAAAACTACAATTTCCTCGGTAACAAAAACTACAACTTCCTCGGTAATAAATGAGCACGAGCTCTTCTCTCAAACTGAAAACACTCTGTTCCACCTTGGGATGTCATCATGTGGTAACATGATAATATAAACACCACTAGTGTTGTAGTACTCTAGACCGGTCTCGGGCTTGAGTCCGATCATGGTCTTGTCTCGGTCTTGAAGGTGCTTGGACTCGTTTTGGTCTCGGACTCGAGGTCTAACTTGTCAAGTTTGATCATATTTAATTTCGGATGCTGCTGTCGGTGATAAACTTGTGCCGGTGTGAGGAGCGCGGCGTCGCTCTGCAGCCTGTGCACATCTGGAGCCCGCGGACACTGTGTGACACGTCCCCACATGTCACCACACTCCCCAGTGCAGTTTGTCCACAACAGCGTGTGTCCTCGTGCACCAGTGTGTATCACAATCAGATTAAACTTTGTAAAACATCCTACGTGTCCGTCTGCCTCACGTCAGCACCGCTCCTCGACTTTTACGCTCTGTCTCCTCCTCGTGTAAAACGTTCACGCTCCTCCTCAATGTGCTGATTAGAAAAAAAACTTAATAAAAGTGCACAAATCCACGTGTGTTTGTCACGATGTGCGTTTGATTTGGTAAATAGACTAGCACAAATCCAGTAAGAGAAAGTGACTGTAGTTAGAAACTTGAAAAAACAGGTTTAAAAATCTACCGACTTTCTTCACTTTCTTCAGTTTTGTGTAAAGTTCCAGGGGAAGTCCTGTTAAAGACGAGTTTCTCAAACTGTGGTTGAGGGTCAAAAAAGAGCACAGAGTGTTTCAGAATAAAACAGTTTGTTTGGTTTATTTTAGACCTAAATGAATAAATCATTAACCAGATCAAATGGAGATAGATTCATAAAAACACTGGTAGATTTGTGCCTAAATAACTGTAAAATACAAATAAATGTAAAAAATTACAAAGATGTTCTCGATTTGGTCTTGATGGATCGTGGTCTTGGTCTTGTCTCGGTCTCAGAGTCTGTTGTCTGGGACTGGTCTTGGTCTCGATTAGTGCTCTTGACTTCAACACTAAACTCCTCACACCTTCACGAGAATCATCTGGATCATTTCAGTCCTGGAGTTGCCAAAATCGACTGAACTAAAGGGAAAAGGAGCTGAAACTACCACTTGATGACATCACAAGGTGGAACAGAGCGTTTGGAACTTTGTAGATGTCAGACTAATAATAAAGAGTGACTCAAACAAACACAACTCTGTTTGTGACCAGGAACAACAGAACATTTGAGCATTAGAACATTAGAACGTGTCTTAAATCTCACAGGTGTTAGTTTTTTGTGATATTGGACTTTAAGGTTTTTTTTTTGTTTATCGTCATGGTAACGGTCCCTCGCTCTCTCTCCGTCCTCAGGGGCGTACGACAGTATCCGCGGTTCGTACAACAGGTCACGTGACGCCGAGACTCGGGCGGATCGGGCCACTGTGACGAAGCCGAGCGCCGTCAGCGACTCGGCGGAGACGCGGCGCCGAGCCGAACGCCTCATCTCTGCCAAGAAAGACGATTTTAACCGGAAAAACGCCGCCAACAAACGCGCCCTCGGAGAACTGAGCACCAGAGCCCAGGGGCTGGACATCAAGAAGATCAACGAGAAGGTACAACTCCAAAACTGGATCAAAACTGACTAAAAACAGACTGAAAACAGCTGAAAACAGACTAAAAACGTTAAAAACATGCCATGTGAACTGGATGAAAACAGTCTAAAAACAGACTAAAAACCAGGTTAAAAACAGGCTATAAAAACAGGATAAAAACAGCTGAAAAAAGGCTAAAAACAGGATAAAACAAGTTAAAAACAGACTAAGACCAGGCTAAAAACAGGCCAAGAACAGGCTAAAAATATGGTAATAACAGGCTAAAAACAT